ATGCCTCTTGTATGAAAAATTGGCTGAGTTTGATAAAAAGAGTAAAGATGGTTATTGTTATGGAAAAGAGAAGGAAAATGGAGAAAGCAACAAAAATAACAAAAAAATCTACCTCTGGAACTAATGATGAAGATAAGGTATAGAGAAAGTGTATAATAAAAAGGATGAAAAGAAAGTGTTAAAGTACTATAAAAGGCCTACTGAAATAGAAAGTATGATCAGCACACCCAAAATTGGTGACTATTATCGAAATGAAACAAGAGTTAAAATAGATAAATATAAGGCACCTGCCTATTATCAAGAATTCACTAAAATGAATTGTGTTGAAGTGAATGAACATAAAGCATTCATTCATTATCAAAAGCTGGTTATAAAAATGAGGCTGACAATGAAAATGCTGAAAATGCCAATGAGGATGATGAGGATGCTGATTATAAAATGGTTGTTAATAAAGAAGATACAAAATGAGAAGAAGCTAAAAAACCAAGGATGTTTATTAACCTTACAAACCTTGAAAAAGCTTGCAACAACTAGAACAAAAAAGTAAAAAATTTAAAGGCATTAATAAGCTCTACAAGAAAATCAGAATGAATTAATGAAACTTACCTCAAGCCATGTGATCAAGAACTGAATAATGGACAAGAAAAGACCACTAAAATTGTTATAAGTTCTCTGAGATCAGTACTTCTGCAAGACACTCCAGCATCTAACTATCCTAAAGAAAACGAAAAAGTGATAAATTGGTTAAAGAGAAATACATATCGAAGAAAAAAAGAACGAATCTGATACTTACTGCCATGTAATTGTCATAATGAGGTATTAAATTGCAGATAATTTCAGTTGTGAGGTGCTTATTTTTAGAGGTTAATGATTATCATAAGAGGTGCTTATTTTTAGAAGGTGCTTATTTTTGGCGATTTATGGTAATAGTGGGTTACAGGTATGACATCTAGTGTAGAACTTAATAATAGGAAACTACTTAATTAGATGCTTAAAAGGCATAGGTATGGCTAAAATATACTCTCTAATGTAAAGGGGTTCCTTTGAGGCTTCGGCTGCAAGCCCTCAACTTAATACTTGAATAAAAACCCTAGCCCCAAAGAGATTAGTTGTAAAAGGTAAAAAAAAAAAAAAAGCAAAAACTTATTAATAAAAAATTAACCAAATTATATTATAATTTCAAGATACTGTATATGCATTTTGATCTTCTAAACAATTTTTATTTAATAAACAAAATCGATTTACTTAGTAAAATTTTGACTTTACTATATAAAAACAAAAGTGGCAAATGGAAAATACCAAAACTACTTTTTTTTGATATTTTTAATATAAATGCATCAAAAAAGAAATTTTGGTTATCAAAGGACGTAGAAGTATAAGTCTGCCGCTTCGCTCCAGACAATTAAATAAACTAGTTACTATATTTATCTACAAAAAAGTTCGATTACCCGATATATAACCCGGATCAGCCCGGACAAAACCACAAAGACCAAAACGCGAAAAATATAACCAAGTAAAAGTGTCGGAAATGCGATTTTACTATAAAAACTACTTAATCCACCCCTATATCAATCGATTTTAATTAAAAAATCGGAAAAATCGGGTAATCTCATGATATATCTGGCTTTAGCCATCCCCCGTGTAAAAGTGCAAAAAATATTGGTTTAAACAAATAAAAATCGAATATAGTTAAACGTTCATGTATTCTCTTGTTTAAGTCTTATAACGAAAGAAATGGCATTAGATTATCGAATCAAATTTTGTACTAATCCGAAAATGGTTAATAATATAAAGTGTTTTGCGCAAGCGAAACTTCATAAAATGGGGTAAATGGATTACTTTCTATTAAAGAATAGCTTTAATAGTAAAAATCTATTTTTTTGCCAAAACAAGTTTTTGATCCTACTAACTACATAATGCAATTCCACACTGGTGCGTACATAATTTAATCAATTTTTAACCTTAGCCGAAAAATCATTAACAATGAACTTTATTTTCAAGACACGCTTCAATTATACAATGTACTGGACAAGTGGCATAGCGAAAGTATTATAGGTTCGATACTAAAACTGGACAAGTGGCATAGCGAAAGTATTATAGGTTCGATACTAAAACTGGCCATTCGAGTGTAATTTTAAAATTGCAACTTGAAAACCTGTTTGTCACCTTAATTAAGAATTTCCGTAAGGTGATATAAAAATTTGGATGCGCTAATTTAATTACTTTATAAAACATTTAAAACCCTGTAAATAGACATGTCATATAACCGGAAATACCAATTAAAATACTTAATTCACTAGTAATTAATATTATCACTATTTTATATTACTTAAAATTATAAAATTTCGTCTTGTCATTGCAACTTCAAAGTATTTGTAATGTACACTTATTAATTACTTTCCGGTGATTGTTTTAAACCTCCTTATTTGTTGCTTTACGTCTTTTCGCCGTTTTTTTAGATTGCTCAATATTTGGTGCAGATACTTTACTTTTGCCCAACATTACTGATATCATTTCCATATCAGGAATACTCTTGACTAGTTCTTTTTCGCGTGGTGTCATAGTCGGATCATTTAGGAAAAATGTGGTAGCGGTTTTGCAAGCTTGTTTAAATTATAAGCATTTATATTAATGATAATGATTATAATAATAAGCTAACATCAATAATCAATAGAATAATAGAAACCTTTCCCTTTTTTCATCGATCCCGGTGTCAACTTAACTTTGTACTTGAATTTCTGCAAAGCTGTGTAAGGCGCACATACTGGGACAGCAAATAATAGGTTGTCTTCCGGTAACGGCATTCCAGTCAAAGTATCGAGAACAGTCAAATTCTCCTAAATCGCAATAATGAAAACCATTTAATATCAAGTAAAGGAGGAAAGCGACCGCTCAAAATATATACTCACTATTGCATCAGATTCCAAAAGTGTAATATTTTCTTCCTTCAAAAGTTGACGAATCTCTTCGGCTTCTTCATTTTTAATTCCTGAAATCTATTTTTTTTTGTTGATTTTATAGTGTACATTAAATTGAATTACACTTGCGCAAATGTATGAATATATTGCTTACCAAATTTTCGTCAAGCTCTTCAAGTTCCGCTTCCTGATTTTGAGATGTTGGATCTTCTTGCGTATCGTTTTGAGATTTGTTCAAGTCAATTGAATTCTCTTTCAAATTACTTGTAGTTTGTTTAGAAACTGTTTGATTCTGCGTTTCCTTTTTCCCTTTCTTGCCTTTGACTTGAGGTGTTTTACTTGACTATAAAAATTTTTATTAATAACATTCAAAGGAAAAGGTAATTTATGAACACCACTAAAACATGTAAATATTCTTACACCAAGCAACTCCATGCGTAAGGATCTTTCATCTTCATCTTGGTCAGCATACTTGTCCTTCAATTTTTTCAATTTTCCTTTTTTGCCACGAGGTGTTTGTACTGATTTTGTTTGCTATTAGACAGAATAGTTAAAGTAAGTAATTGATCATATCAAAAATTAATCAAGACAACTAATTACCTTTCCTTTCCCAGAAACATTTGATCCTTTTTGTGATACTAAATCTCCAGGTGAATCAGAGGCAGACGGTACAAGAGGTTTAAAATCTTTATCCCCAATAGCATCTTGTTTTTGCTTTTTTAGCATTCGCCTTTCTTTCACAGATATATATTTCTTTTTCTGTATGTCGAGAGATGTATTATTAAATTATCTAACTCCCATACTTATTATTAACAGATTATTACCGATTTATCACTGCTTCCTTGATTGATATCCTCTTCAGCATCTTTATCTTCACCATACTCATCCAGATTATACTTATCCCAAGCTGGGATATCGAGTTTCATAGAACTCTGCAATTTTTCACTTAAATCTAATTGTTGATTTAATGCCTGTTCTTGCGTTTCTTCTTCATTGTAGTAACTCTCATCTTCACTTTCATTCAACTTTGCCTCTTCAATACTTTCTATTTTGGTTGTTTGAACATCTGTTTCTAATGAACGAAAAAACAACTGTATATAAACATATAATAACGATAATATGGATTTTGCATTCAGTTAAATCATACCAGCCACGCCTTCTGGTTCACTATCAGTACTATTATCATCAAGGCAAAGCTCTTTAATATTATTATTCTATAATAGTTTAAATAGAAAATATATGATTATTAGTTCAAAAGAGAGCAAGCTCATTAAGTAATGTATTATAATATTACTGGATTCACTGATTTTTCTATTTCACTTGATTCTTCAGCCTTTAGTGGACGCCGTTCATGCAAATGATTTGCAATGCTTTGTTCATCCACTTTGAAAAATAAGCCAAGACCATATACCAATTGTACAGGTGGTAGAAAGTTCTTTTTACCACGAATCATAAAAGAACCAGTTGTAAGGTATTCCCCACTCGGGGCGGTTTTAGATACCTAATTGAACATGACATATTTATGTTGATAATGTGGATCATTTCGGAAAATACAGTAACTTTAATACTAATTAAACGTTACAAATTCTATAGTGTGCAGAAGCCTACTTGATCCGCGTGGACCCAATACGCGCTAGTAACTATCTTCGCTTCCCAGGCTTTACTTTGGCAGACAGACATAGTTCCAGCTTGAAAAAGTGTGCTCGGAGGCACCGGCTGACTGTCATTAGGATTCTTAATAACAACTGAAGCAGCACCGTGCAAATCGGCGTGGACGTACAAATCGCCTTCCGGATTAAAGATGTCATTTTAACCAAAGAGAAATTTAATTTGCAAAGAGAATATGGCACCGCGTAAAATTTACCTTTACGAAGATATCGTTTAACCAACAATTCATTTTGTTGCATGTCACGCCCAGCGATGACAAGATAATTTTCGGATGAGACAAACCATAAAAATTTTTCAAACCAAAAAGGCTTGCGAATCTTATTTATGGATGCGGTTGTTTTTGTTTCTTTAAGGTCTTGTTTAATTTTTTGTTCGGCGCTTTTAAATGCCTACATGAAAATGAAAAATAATTAAGTTCTATTATTTGAATAAATTTAGAATGTAACATTTGTTGGTGCGCTGTTTTAATACAAACTTTATCAGCAACAGCTAAAGTCTTTGCTTGTTTAATCATGGACTGCTTTTTTACATCATAGAATTTCCTCGCATTAGCATATGCAGATAAGTATATATCAACATCAACTTTATCTTGTACTGTCTCTTGCATATTGTTCCGCTCTCCTTCAGATTCTTCATCTGAAGAATCATAAAAAGTCTCATCTATTTCTTCTGACTCCCTATATTAGCATCATATAAAGAAAAGTCAATCCACTGTACAATGATTAAGATAATTCCATAGAATTATTAATGTAAGGAATCTCTCTAAATGCACCCTATATATAAGTCCTAAAACATAGACATTTATAAAATTGTTTTTTATAAATGTCTATAAGCAAATGCACTTTTTGTATTTAACCTAGAGTTTGGAACCGGTTTTATTTTTCATATGCTAAAACCGATTAAACCCGGTTTTAATGAAAATAAAACCGGTTCCCAATTTTAATCCTCAATGGGTCATTTAGAAAGTTATTTATAATTTTATAATTTAGTAAAAATTTTATATACTTTAATAACAATGTAATCTGATTCATTTCAAGCTTCAATCCCGCAATTATAGCAGCTATTGGATTCCCTTTTTTTTTTTCTTCCATAACTAGGTTTTCAAGATCTTTCCAATCCATTGAACTAGCAATAGCGTTTCTTATTACTATAATAGCCTGATCTACTATATCGACGTTTGACTCGATTAATCTAGCTTTACGCATGTTAATCTCCTGTGCACTTTGCAAATTTTCCACTCTAGAATATTGCTCTTTTTTAATGGCTTCCAACTTTTTCAGTGCAGCTTTCTCCTGGTTTCTCTCTTTTAATAATAATTTTTGGCTTTCCATAGATGAGTAGTACTCATCGACGGCCAAATCAAATGAATCAAATTCTTTGTAGGGTTTCAATTTATGTTGTTCGAAAAGAAAAGGATGAAACTCATCATAACTGAGAATAAATAGTTTAAAACATTAAAATTTTGGTTTACAGAAAATCGACGAGTAGTTGAACGAATAACACAATATTATAATAGCATACGTTGTTACATTATCTTCAACTTCACATTCATCATTTTGTGAATGTTTTAACATAATTATATATCCCTGTAAGAGTTCAATACAAATAAATATTAGCCAAACATATAATATTTGCATAAATAATAATTATTGAATGCAATTATGCCTTTTGTCTGGTCCTGGCAGTATCTTCTATTATACGATCTACTTCAGAGAAACCAGCTTCTAAAGCACTTAAATGCGATGAATCTAATTGTACGCGCAATATTATTAGACCCAGAGATTTTTTTTTTTTTTTTTTGGATAATAAAATATAAATAATCGTCGTGAATAAACCTTCAGATTTGTCAACTGTTCCGACTTTCATATTCGGATCCAGATTTGCGAAGCGAATGGCATGCTCAGTCAATGACTGACCGTAACCTATAATTGGATTTATACTATTTTACTAGATACAAAACTAAAACGTGATCAAAATAATAATTAATTAATGTAATCAACATACTCAACTTAGCATTTAACACTTTTTTTAGCGAATCTTTGGAAGTTTGATCAATCAGTACATCCCGTAAACGAAATCTCGTTACAGGATCGCCTACACGAGATACAGCATTGACATTGTATATTTGGCCAACGGCAATCTTTTCATTTTCTTTAGATTGAACGACACGTAATAATGATAATATTGTATATTCATGATCTGTAAAGATTATATTTCCCTAATATATATTCGTTATAAATGAATAACACGCCAAAACAAAATGATTAACAAAATATATTTAAGTAACTTACTGAAGCATAAAACTCTGCTATAATATGGTACGTTGTGCCTTCACCAACGCCGGCAAATTCAAAGTCAATGATCCTATCAACACCCAATTGTCTGACATCAGTTAGTCTTCGTGTTCTAATATGCTTTCGTAGCTGAAAAAAAATTTTTACATAAAATATTATTACTCGAAACATTTGATTTATAGTTCGAATCTGGGCTTGGACCATGTATCAAATATCCAATAACTATTTTTTAATACATACCTTTATACAAAAAGGTGAAGGAGTAATCGATTTATCCCGAGAAAATTGTGTCGTATGAATCCTGTTCCCCGATTCAATTAACACAAGTTCCTTCCTATCCGGCTTTATTTGATTTAAAACATGATAAATCGTTAACAATTAAAGATCGCAACTAAATAACAATATGCATTCTATAATACTTTTAATGACCTTTGAAAATTTAAATAAATAAGTTTTCGGATTTATGTCATAGACGTTTTGTAATCTTAAGCCAACAATTCTGTAATTAAAATAATCGATCAG